CCTCCCCGAGCCTGCGTGCGCGTCACTCTTCCCCCTTTTTTTATTTCAACCGAATCTCGACGACAGGTTCGGTCGTTCGATATTTTATTCGCGTCGTAACCGGACCGATGATACCATCGAAATCAATGAAATCCGGCTGCATCCTGGTTAATTAATCGTTCTCGAGATTCGAATCCTCTTTAGAGAATGAACAACCGTGTTTGAAACAACCGTTCTTCGAAACGAGGTTCGCGGCAGGAAGGTAGGAAGACGGGCCTCCCGTCTCGTTCCCCTCTCATGATTCACCGATAAATCAATCCGCACATCTCTCCCCGACCCCTCGATACATATATACATATATACTGTGTCTTAGTTATCTCGTAGACGCGGGTGGTCTCGTAGGATCGAAACGATCGAGCATCGGTGGAAGCCCGACACGGCCGGAAGTTGGGAAGCGCCGCATACGAAATCGCGCACGACACTGAACCGCCAGGACGTCTAGCGCCCGAGGTGAGCCTCTCGCGGATTCGCGGGCTCACGTGTGAAATTCTTGCGCATGCACCGACGCCTTCTCCCTTCCAATTTCCCCTCTTTCCTTTCCTTTTCCTTTCCACCGCCGTTTCTCCTCCTTTCGACAACCCTCTCTCCCTCCCTCTCTCTCTCGCCCGGTCAAACATCCCTCCGTCCCTTTCCGCCAACCGACCACCCCCGCTTATCTCTTATCGCCAACTCTGTCGCTGTTCTTTTCTCCCCCAAGACTATTGTCCTCTCCCTCCCTTTCGCTCCTCTCCACCTCTCCTCCTCCTCCTTTCTACCCTCCTTGGCTGGATAAGCTCCTCCGGATGGCATCATGCGAGCGACAAGTATCTAGTGTTAGTCCAGCTTGGCACGGAACTTTGCCGAGTATTTCGCCAGTAAGTAAATTCGAGTGGATCGACGAGGGAGGGGAGGGGGTGGAGGGCTCGATAAACATCGGGGATAAATGTCGCGGAAGGTTTCTTCCTAGCGAGGATGATGATTTTCGATTTTTGATTATATATATTTTAAATCGGATATAATTCTCTTGATTAAATTTTTCCTTCACGCGCATCCATTTCGTAACCATTTTGAAATTCTTTTTCACATCTCTCTCGAAATATCATTTAACGCGAAATGCACGTGTAATCTCGGCGCATAATATTTCTTATTATTCCTCCGTTTCTCTTTTAAAAGGCTCGACCTATTTACCGCGATTGAAGAAGAGAAAAAAAAGAAAAGAAAAAGGATCAATAAAGAAAATCTCTCTTATTCACCAGAGAGCCGTCATTTGTGTCTCTAATTATTTCCATATACGTGTTTCAAATTTCATTGTACAGTTATAGTTCGTTGTATAAATCAATCGCGAGGGAAAGATTTTTCAAAGAACGATCGATATCGAAAAATCAAAATTTCATCCCGTTCTTCTCTTTCCCTCATTTCAACAACCCTCGCCGCGTTTCATCCCCGTTTATACACCACGATGGATTCACCTTTAACGGCCTTTAAATAATAACCGGTTAATACCAGTCTGATAAAATGGATCGTCACCTAAACAAGGAAATTGCGAGCGCGATATTGCCACACTTTCCTCCAACCAGGCCGTTTCCGACTTTTTCCCTTCCCCCATAAACTTTCCGTTTTCACACCGGTCCGCCCCGTACCGCGTCGTTCTCCCTCCTTTCGCATTATCATCCGCGTTTTACTCTCCAACGAGGGTCCAAACGAGAGAGAGAGGCGCGACGAAGTGTGGCCATATTTGCGGCCGGGATGAGATCCTATCTACGTCTCCGTTTATAAACTCGTTTAATAAACTCGATCGTAAAAATCTTAAATTAATCCTGTGCATTCGTCTCCTCGAATCCCGTTATCCGAAAACCGTGCTTCTCGAAACCGTGTTTCGTTCGAACGTTCATACGTCGGTGCAAGTTGTACGTCGTTACAGCAGAATTTGTTTATCCGGGCGCACGGATGGAGAAGAATGCGCTGCTGCATCCTCGTCGTTATCCCATCTCGTTACCATTATCCAGCATCCGTTCGTACGGATCGCTTCGATCGTTTTTTATTTTTCTTTTTTTCTTTTTTACGCACGATGATCCCTCTTTTCGAGAACGAAAGAGGACTTGTGGGATACCTGTTGAAGATCGGTTTTCTCTTCTATTCTCGCATCGTCGATCTTCGTGGAACGCACGAACACTCTCGATCGATTAAATCACCACTGGCAAATGGTACGCGAGTAGATAGGGAGGAGGAGGGTGGGGTTTTCTTTTCTTTTTTAAAAAACGATATCGTTTCAAAAATACGAATCGATTTCTTCTCTCCGCTTTCTTTCCTCCCTTCCTCCCTTCGCGTCCTCTTAAACGTTCGCGTCACGTTCGCACCACGATGCGGGGGAGGAGACGAGCACAGAGTGCAGTTGGAGAGATAGGGAAACGATAGAGGCAAAGAATAGGAGCGGACAGATTGATCGACCGTGTCTGGATCTCCGCCGTGTCGAGATGGTGGGGATGGAACGATAAGGGTGGATGGATTTCAGGAGGAACGACGATCGAGACCCCACGAAAGCGGAAGTACTTTGGGCCGATCGTTGTTGGGGGATACCCTCTAGGCTGCGAACGATCTTTGCATCTTTGCGCAAGGAGAAACGTCTCCGTGTCTTCCGCCGCTGATTGCTCCCTGCGAAATACGACTCGAGTCACTTTCGTTTCCCCCTCGTTCGTTTCCTCTTCTCGTATACGTTATAGCGAATCGTTTCGAGCAACGAAATTAAACCTTATTCAAGATTTAAGAAGAAGCGGAATCGGCCGATCAATTTTGTCATCTCTGACAGACACCGGATTTATCCGATTCTTTTAATTGGAAATAGCCATTTGGTGAGAAATATCACCACGATGACCCGATGAACTTTTCCCGTCGATTGAACGCATATACGGATGGAAATACAATTTTATTTTCAGATATTCGGGGGAATAATTTAAAAAGTATTCGTCGTGTTGCGTGCACGCGATTACATGCGCGGGGTTTTTTTTTCGTATCGCAACGTTGAGAAAGTAGCTCGTAGCGAGAACAATAACGGGCGGATTAATTCGTGGCTCGACCCCTCGAATTCGAGGAAATCCGAGCCGAGCCATCCGTGGACTCGAGGGTTGCTATCATTAACGAGGGTGGGAAAAAATGGCGTTCATTGTTCACCGAGAGAAACGAGAGACGGCCTTTGGACGGCGATGGTGTCCCGATGTCTCGTAAAACGCGATTTTATTCGAGGTTGAACAAATTGAAACATAAGCCGCTCGTAAGTCGGCCGGCCCCCTATCCTCCGGGTTTCTTTCCTTGCGCCACCCTCCCGCGTCTCGCAATACGCGCCCACTATTCGTCTTTTCTACCGTGAATTCCTCGGATCTTTTTATTACATCCCGCGAACAAGGCCGGGGACCAAGGTTGCGGGCATTCACGTCGGGTTATACGTACCAACCTCCACCCCTTCTTCTCTCCAATGCTATATCGGGGCCGAATTTATCTCTCTATCGGACTCCTCCGTGGCCATCTTGTTGCATAAAAATTTATCTGCCGAGTCGAACGGGCAGGGATATATGATATCGTTGAAAATCGTATCCCCCCTTGCCTGTTTATCGCCGACCTCCCCTCTCCGTTTCATCCCACGGAATTAAAACGTAACGCGAGACGCGTGCGTATTTCGCGTGGAGGGATACGAAAATTGAGAAGGAATCGAGAGGAAGGGGAAGGGAAGAGAGGGTAGCGAAACGGGATCGTAAAAAAATAAATGCCGTGGTTGGGGAAAAATAGAAAATTTTCAAATGAAAAACAACGGAAGCAGCTGCCGTCCGCGGTAACGCTGAATGGAGAAACTCGAAAACATAGAATTAGGGAAGATGGCGGTCGATGGCGAAGTCTCGGCCCACAATTAAGAAGAGACGGGGCTCCTGTGAATTAAAAGCGTCAGCTCGCTAAAAGATCAAGAATTCTCTTCTTTCCCCCCGTCCTTATTTTTATCCCAGCCACCTTCTCTCTCTCTCTCTCTCTCTCTCTCTTTCTTTCCTGAAAAGTTCGAGTATCCACGTGTTCGTAACGCCATAACGTGCGCTATCCGAATCATGGATGGACGAAGGGCGAAGGGGTAGAGAAAGGAAAGAGGAAATATCGGAGAGAAAGATGAAAATCGAAAAGGAACGAATGGGAGGAGGGGAATGGGGAGAAAGTGAAAAGGCGAAACGAAGGAGCGGAAACTCGAGAAAGGGGTAGAAGTATAGAGGGTATTCTGATTCCGATTCTCCTTTTCCTTCCACATTCCTCCCGGATTGAACAGGCCTTTATGATGGGATACCGCTTTATGGCACAGCTTCGCCGCTATTATGCGTGCATCGGCCGATCGAGGGGCAGGAAAAAGGGGGAGGTACGGTATGATTTTCGGTACCTCGATGGAACAGAGAGAGAGAGGAGGAGGAGGAGGAGGAGGAAGACTAGGGAGGGTGGCGCTTTGGAGCATTGTGAGGATAATGAAGCCAAGGCGAG